TTTCTCTTTCCCTTCCTGTCCTCTTTTTCCACTCCCTCCTCTGCAATCTTAGGTCTCTTTTCCCACTTCCGTAGCTACAAACACCCACATGCCTTATCTCCTTCCCCTGTCCCATCCTGAAGCTTATTAATACAGAGCCCAGTTTGATAGAGAGCACTGGAGGAACAGGACAGGGCTCCAGCACCCACAGCCCAACATGCTCTTGTTGGAACACTGGCTGGCTGAAAAAGGATGTTTGCTGCTCTGGTTGCTCCCATCTGTTCTCCAAGCCCAGTTGAACCAGGAGGTGAGGCCCAAGTCCACGTTGTGCCAGCAGGTAAGGCTGCTTTCCCAGGTGCTCCCAAGCTGGGATGGCCCTGGGAGCTTTGCTGGGGCCGAGCTGGAGGTGTTTGCTAAAAGGCAGGATGGAGTGCAGGGTCTTGGGGGGATTCAGCCAACTGCCATGGTTGCTCAGAAGGTAGATGGGACCCTGGGTGTGGAGCAGCTGGGCTCAGCACAAGTGGAGCCTTGTGGAGCAGCACAAGTGATGGTGGGGGGCAGAACCCAGCTGCTCCATGCCCAGGCTCCAAACTGGCAGAGGAAACCAGTTTGGAGGGAGGTGGAAGGTGGAGCCCACCAGGATGGTACCCTTCATCCATCCAGACAGGACAAAGATGCTCTGGAGCAGTCCTGTGGAGCCCAGAGGCTGAGCTTTCTCCTTGCACCATCAGAAACAACTCAGCTGTGTCTCAGCCCACTTCAACCCTGGGGACAAGACCTTTGTCTCTGAGTAGTGGCTGGAAGTGGTTGGGCCCCTTCCCATCCTGGGCTTCCAAGTTGCTTGTGCCCACCTCGGACAGATGGCTTGGCTGGAGCTGTGGTTTGCAGACCCTCTCCATTCTGATGCCTTCTCCTGTCTTCCTGTAGAGCCCCATGAGGGTGTCTTGCAAAGGGCTTGGCCTGCACCAGTTTCCAAAGGAGCTTGGCCAGGGAGTTAAGTACCTCGAGATCTCCAACAACTTCATCCGAAACCTGTCGAGCAGCTACATGCCAGGGTTTGGGCAGCTTGAGTACCTGGATATGGGCTTCAACCAGCTGGAAGCTGTCTCAGGTATGACCCTGTCTCAGCTGCCCCAGCTGCGCTCTCTTCTCCTGGGATCCAACCACCTGGACCGCAATTACCAGGCGAATGGGAGAGCCTTTCATCTGCTGAGGAACATAGAGGTCCTGGACCTGTCAGCAAACAACCTGGAGAGCCACATGGCAGGCTGGTATGTCAGCAACCTCACCAGCCTGAGGATGCTCGATCTCTCCAGGAATAAGATGACCAGGCTGCCAGCAGAGATCTTCTGGAGCATGCCACAGCTGCACGAGCTCAACCTCAGCAACAACTACATCATGGAAATCGAGAAGGGGGCTTTTGAGGGTCTGGGACAGCTGGAGGTGGTGAACTTGGCTTTGAATTCCCTCTATTGCATCTCTGGCTTCAGCCTCAGGCAGCTGCGAGTTTTAAACCTGAGCCACAACGCCCTGGAGCTCTTCTTGTCAGAGGAGGCAGCAGAGCCCTACCTGCTTCAAGTGCTTGACTTGAGCCACAACAGACTTCTTTATTTTCCAGAGCTCCCCAAAGCCCATTATCTCACACACTTAAACCTCTCCAACAACCTTATTGCTTCCCTGCTCCCAGGCTCACACCATCCAGGGGAGTTCATGCTCCCCTACGAAGAGATGGGGAGGCTGAACAGGACTTTGCACGCCGGGGCTGGGCTGACACACGTGGCTGACCTGGATCTCAGCAATAACCGGCTGCAGCTCTTCCCAGTTCCCTTCTTCCACAGCCTGGGCTCTCTGCACAACCTCAGCCTGGCCAGGAACTGTCTCCAGGAGGTGTCTGGGGGGTCTCTGGTTGGTGGGACGGAGCCCAGCGCCGCCCTCCCGCTGCGCTGGCTGGACCTGGGCAGCAACGCCTTCCACCTGCTGCCACACTGGTTTTTTGATTCTCTGCCCCAGCTGGAAGCCATCGACCTGGGCTCCAACAACCTCCAGCCTTGTGGGAGCCAGGGGAGCAAGCCAGGAGGGAATCCGGGAGGGGAATCTCATGTGTCAGCCCCAGGAGGCACCTGCACCCCCTTCTACAACTTGCCTCGCTTGAAGCATCTGAGTCTTCGCAAGAACAACATCACCAGGCTGCAGCCCTACGCCTTCCACCAGACCTCCCTGCTCTCCCTGGACCTGTCAGGGAACAAGGACTTGTTCATGCCTAAGGAAGCCCTGGGGGGGTTGGAGTTCTCTCTCCAGAAACTCTCTCTGAGGGGCAACCAGATGGACAACAGCAAGGCAGAGCTCCCCTGCCTGGGCACACTCCGAGTCTTGGACCTCTCAGGTAATCTCTTAAGCCATTTGCCCTCAGGTCTTTTCTGCTCCCGGCTGGAAAGCCTGGATGTCCGTGACAACAACCTGCTGACGTTGGAAAAGCCGGCCCTGGCGAGCTGGCCCCACAGCCTGCAGGACATGTCCATTGCTGGGAACCCCTTCAGCTGCTGCTGGCTGGGCTGGCTGGACGCGCTGCGGGCGGGCGGCGTGGGCGTCAGGGACCTGGACCAAACCCTCTGCACCTACCAGGAGGGGAGCAGCAACTTCTCAGCCAAGATAACCAGCAGTCCTCGGTGGCTTTGCCCACGTCCCAAGGGCACCAGCCCTCTGGCTCCCTTCATGGTGGTGATGAGCCTTTTCATCCTCGGCTCCGGGGTTTGCTGCCTTCTGAAGACGGGGCAGAAGTTGTCGGGGCGTGTGGGGCTTGGGAGCAACAGGGTGGGGGTCTCACCCCCCTGTCCCAAACCAGAGGAGCCAGCTGACGTGAAGGCAGCAGACAGTGTCACCAAGGTGTAGCCCAGCCCAGGGGGGGCAGGAACTGGAGCCATCAGTCAGAACTCTAATTATTAGTAGTAAAATCACAATATTCTTGTATTCTGGACCTTCTCCCCTCACTGGTACCTGTGTGTTTTGCAAACCCAATCCCAGGAGTGTGGTTAGTGCTGGTCTCTGGGCCACCTCTCCTTCTCCAGAGGGAAGGTGCCCCCATCTGCTGTGTTCCCTGCACAAAATTAAACAATCTGGAAGCAGTTGCAGGTGGGTTTTCTGCCCTACCATCACACCTTCCCATCACATCTTCCCATCACATCTTCCCATCATAACTTCCCATCGCACCTTCCCATCACACCTTCCCATCATACCTTCCCATCACACCTTCTCATCTCCCAGGACACCAAGGCCTGGGCTGGTTGAACTGATCTGCCCCCCCTGAACCCTCCCCTCTCTGCTTTTGGAAGGGGAATTGTCTCAGTTGTCTCCAGCTAAAGTGTTTCACAGCTTTCCCAGCAGCCATGACCTGCCTTTTCAGCAGGTTTCACAGCTGGGTTAAAGACCTGCTCCTGCTCCCAGAGCCCTGCCCAGCCCAGCAGGGGTTGGGCTGGTGGTGGCTCTGGCTGTGGTGGGTGGCTGGGGCAGGAGGGGGGTTCTGCTGGATCCTACCCACCTCTTTTCTGCCTTTTCCTGCCAAACTGTCTCCTGAACCATCCCGTGGAGCTGGCAGGGCTTAAAATGACCCCAGACACCAGAGCAGGAAGGAAATCCACACTGTCCTCACCCGTTGAGATGGGGAGAATGAGAGAGGACAATCCAGACTCCTGCTGTCCCGGGCTGATGGTGGGACAGCAGCTCTTGGAGGTGGGTGCAGGACATTCCACCCTCAGCACCTGGACTCCTGAGGCAGTGGCAGCTCAGTCTCCATCACAGGGGTCAGTGCTGGCTTGGCTGCTCCTCTGGCAGCTCCAGCATCTGGTCCACGTGGTGTTTGGTACAGGGGGGCTGGAAGCCCAGGGCAGCAGGAGAAGGTGCTGGGCAGGATGGTGATGTGGGATGGCTGCTCTCACGGGGGCTGCTCCTGGACTGCACACAACAGCCTGGCTCTTTGTCCCAGGTGGGATATGTCCAGCTTCCCAGGGCAGCAGCCAGATGCCCAACAAGTACCTGAAGGGCTGGGACCAGCTCTGGGGAAGGATAAAAACCAGGCTGCAATAAACCCTCCCAAGGTTTCACATCTCCTGGGTTCCACCTTGAAAGTCCCCAGCTGGCCCAGGCCACCTACTGGTCCACACACACCTGCTGGTTTAGAAGCTGACAGAGCAAAAGGGCTTGGAAGTCACTTAAAATCCCAATTCCTTTTACTTTTTTCCCCTTTCAAGCTCGTTGTGGTGCAGCCAATGTCCCCAGGGTGACACAGCCAGCTGGGCTCTGGCCATGGCAGCTGCTGTCACCTTCACGGGGTGTTTCTGGTACATTTTGTGTGGCCTCTGTTCCTCATTTCAACCCCCTCCCAGGCTGTACTTTCCATGCATGTCACCAAATGTCCTGCCCTTTGTGCTGCTCCCACCAGTGTCCTCCTCTCCTTGAGGGCTGGAGCCTTGTGCAGCTGGGTGACCAGTGGGGACACTGGTGACCCAATGGGGACACCACGTTCTGCCAGGCACCCAGGCAGTGCCAGGTGCTGCCTTGGGCTTCCTGAGCACTCCCCAGCCATGTTTATCCAGCACTGGTGGCACAGGCTGTGTCGTGTCCCCATGGACCAGCAGCTGCTGGTTGACCCGGGCAGGGATGGTGGCACTTGGGGCCAGTGGACCCAAAGTTTTCTTTGGGGAGCATCTGCTAAATCATGTACCAAATACAGGAGGAAGGATCCCTGGTTTGCAGGGAAGGCCCCTCAGAGGCACATAAAGCTTAGGGGAGGAGGGATGGAAGAGACCTGCTGGCCTTGCTGAGGGGCAAGAGATGAGCTTTAAAGGAGACCAGGAAGCCTGGAGAACCCCTGAGGACAAAGAAAGGTTTTGAAGGTACAGAAACAGAGGCAGGGAAATGGCACGTTGGGTTATTGTCTTTCTATCTGTGTGCTTTCCCAGTTCAAAGGGAAAATAGGATTCCAAGTTGGGGTCTCCATGGCACTAGAAGAACTGAGTCCACGTCAGTGTGAAGGGCAATGTCCCCTTCTCCCAGTGGCAGGAGAAGCTTTCATCTTGGCCAGGAACAGGGCACAGGGTGAGCACCAGGGGCTTGTCCTGGCACAGGGGACAATGAGATGACCAGGCAGAAACCAGCACGAGTTGCCCATGAGCTCAAGAGAAACCTGGCTGTGGTACTGACTGGTGCTAACAGGGGGTATGTCCTACACCCCACTTTGCTCCTCAACCCAAGCTTCCCTTGGCTTAGAGGAAATGCTTTCCTGCCCCATCCCTGGCAGTGTTGAAGGGCAGGTTGGATGGGGCTTGGAGCAGCCTGGGCTGGTGGGAGGTGTCCCTGCCCATGCAGGGGGTTGGACAGGATGGTCTTTAAGGTCCCTTCCAACCCAAACCATTCCATGATTCTATGACATGTCTTGGTACCTCAAGACCTTTCTGGATCAGAGATGAGGGGAGAAGATCCATAGATGATTGAAGTTCAAACAAATGAAGTGATGATGCAAAGATGCTGCATTTTCACCTCCATCTGAAAGGCTGTAGGAGGTCTTTGGGCTGTAGGAGCATAAGCTTTGGTCTGGGGAGAAAAAAAAAAGCAGTAGTGGTTGAAACACTGTGACCATTTACAAATTTTCTAGAGAACTAGTTGAGAAATCAAGCAAAACTCATTCTTTCCACTGGAAACCCTTCCCATTTCACTGGCTCTGCATTTTCCAAAGAAAACTAGATTTTATCACAAATTTCCAACCAGCTGTTCTGCCAGCTCCTGAGGAAATTACCTCCTCTGCTACTCACTTGAATTTGAGGACCCTCTTATTTATTTTTTTTTTGTCCCCTATATTTTTTCCCCCTTTTCCTCCATGGAGATGAGACCCAGAGCTCCATCTGCTTCAAGGGCCAAAGAACGTCCTGCCTGCTGGTGAGCAGACCTCCAGAACAGTTGCTGGAGGTATAATTGGGTTTAATTTTGGCTGATATTGCTGCAGTTGACAAGAGGGCCTGGCCTGAAGCTGCTCCAGGGGAGGTTTGGGTTGGATATCAGGAGGCACTTCCCCATGGAAAGGGTGATCAGACACTGGGATGGACTGCCCAGGGAAGTGGTGGAGGCACCATCCCTGGAGGTGTTCAAGGAAAGGCTGGAGGTGGCACTTGGTGCCCTGGTCTGGTGATGTGGGGGTGTTGGCCATAGGCTGGACTTGATGATCTTAAAGGTCTTTTCCAGCCTTGGGGATTCTGTGGTTCACTTTGTGTTCCCAAAGGAGGCTGATCCCATCAGCCTCTGTCCTCTCACTGTGGGTCCCCGTGCCAGGGTGGCTTGTACCTGCTCCTGCCTAACGTGGCATTTGCTCTGTGGCTTTAGGATGGGTCAGGAGGCTGGTGACAGAGGCTTGTCCCCCTGTGTCACCTCGGGGACATCCTGTCCCCCCCCTTGGCAGGGCTGTGTCACTGCTGCTTTCCATTATCTCCCTGCCACAGCCTCTTTGGGTGACTCAGCTCCCCTGGCAGCTCTTTCCAGCCTCCTCAGTGAGGTCGGGCGTGTTGTTCATGCCACTTTCTTCCTCTCTGGGGGAGCTCAGGCCAGGCTGGGACCTGCCACCAGCCCTGCAGCCCCCAGACCTGCACCCCGAGGGGGCTCTGGGATGGGGCAGCTCCCAGACCCTCCCCAGCCCTGCAAGCTCCTGCCCTGCCTCCTGCTGCAGGGCTTGCCTGGGCTGCTGGGCTGGCAGATGCCACCAGATGTTCTGCAGCTGGGTCCCTCCAGCCCAGCTGTGCCAGGGCCCTGGGGACTGGGTGTGCTGCAGAGCCCACCCTGGGCTGCCCTGGGGGGAGATGCTGCCGAGTGTCCCTGGGCAGCCCCTGGTCCCCAGCAGGTCTGCAAGTGTCCCCAGGGTGCTCCATGTCTTCACAGCTTGCAGCCCCAGGCAGGTGTGGGGCCAGGGCTCCTGCCCCCAGCTCTGGGGCTCCCTGGGGCAGCCAGGTGGGAGCAGCCTCGGGGCAAGGGGAAGGAGCCACAGGTGAAGCTGGAGGGCAGGGTCCCGCCTGGAGAAGCCCAGCTGGCAAGAACAGGTCCTTGCAGGTCCCCTGTCACCCCCCCAGCCTGCTTCTCAGGCCCTGTGGTGAGGTCACTGACCCACCAGAAAGAGGAAGGGGGACAGTCCCACGGAAGGGGAGCAGGTCTCTGCACCTGGAGCCACCTGTGCCAGCATCCCCAGCCTCGGGAGGGGACCAGGGGCTCCCAGCTGCCTGCCCACAGCAGGGATCCCCTCCACAACCCCTGGGCCGTGGCAGGAGCTGGCTGGGGAGCAGGACCTGCCTCCTGGGTGGGTGCCACTGCCCCCCACATCCCCAGAACCCAGCAGGGGTCACAGCCTCCTGGGCAGGAGGACACGGTGGGTGAGTGTGGGCTGGGGGAGGTTGGAGGGGCTGGGGGGGACACGGGGCACGTGGATGGCAGGGGAAGCCCTGGAAGGTCCTCACAGGAAGCTTCTCCTCAGCCTGGAAGCCACAAGCTGTTGCAGGCTGGGGTGGTACCTGGGGATCAGTCCCCATGTGCTGAACACAAACCAGCCCTGGGCATTTGCTTTGGCCCGAGTCCCAGAAGTGGGACATGAGAGCCTTTGGCCACCCAGGACAACTATTGGACATTCCCCCACTAATGAGCTGAATCCCAGGAGCAAGATCTGTGTGCAGGCAAGTCCCAGCCCAGCAGCAGATCTCCTGGCCCTCCTTTGAGCTCCTCCAGGAGTTTTCCCCTCCTGGCTGTGTCCCCGGGGCATCCCATGCCAGACAGACACTTCCCAGTGTCCATCCCAGTTCCCTGCCTGCTCCCCACTGGCCTTTCCCTCTGCTCAGCACCCACAGAACCACAGAATATCAGGGGTGGGAAGGGACCTCTGAAGATGATGGAGTCCAACCCCCCTGCCAGAGCAGGACCAAAACCAGGGCAGGTCACTCAGAAAGGCATCCAGACAGGGCTGGAAAGTCTCCAGAGAAGGTTTCTCCACAGCCTCTCTGGGCAGCCTGTCCCAGGGCTCTGTCACCCTCACAGCAAAGAAGTTCTTCCTCATGTTGAGCTGGAACTTCCTGGGCTCCAGTTTGAATCCATTGCCCCTCGTCCTGTCCCAGGGCACAAGTGACAAGAGCTTGTCCTGCCTTCTTGCTGCCCTCATGTACTGATAGACATTCATTAGATCCCCCCTCAGCCTTCTCCTCTCCAGCCTGAACAGCCCCAGGTCTCTCAGCCTTTCCTCATAAGGTTCCAGTCCCTTCATCATCCTTGTAGCTTCCCTTGGGCTCTCTCCAGTAGATCCCTGTCCCTCTGGAACTGGGGAGCCCAGAACTGGACACAACACTCCAAGTGAGGTCTCACCAGGGCCAAGTAGAGGGGGAGAAGAACCTCCCTCTGCCTGCTGGACACCTCCTAATGCACCCCAAGATACCATTGGCCTTCTTGGCCCCCAGGGCTCATTGCTGCCCCGTGGAGAACGTGTCTCCAGGACTCCACAGACCAATCCCTACCTTCCAAACCCCCTTTATCCCCATGGTGGCTCTTTGGCACAGGCTGGGTTAGGGCAGGGAGCCTTTCTCCTGGGCTGGGAACCCCCTCCTGCCCTTCTCCTTCCCCACCAGAGAAACCAGCAGGGAAGGGGAAGGGGTATTTTTAGCACTACCCCCACGGTTGATTCAAGGATTGAGCTAAGAAGAGGAATTGACATCAAATGAAGTGATGGTTTTGCTGTAAAAGGAAGCCCTTTTTTTTTTTTTTTTTGTGGGGTTTGGAGTTGTTG